CATATATTTTGTGAACTGCCCAGAGAGCCTTTTGGCTATAGGAAATTGTAGAAGTGAAATGAATAAAAGCCTCTCCAGAGTTTTTGATCCCCCCCCCCCCCCCCCCCCCGAACTATGGTCAGTGTGAGTCTTCTGAAGGAAGGGGGAATCAGCTGAATTCAGACAGAGGTGATGAGCCTCCATCTAGTTTTACAAAATTCCCTCCACCCTCAGAAGCTGCCATACTGAATCTCAGTCTCCAGAGAAGATGCAAGGTTGGAATACAGGAGGCTACAGAGGGAGGAGAGGATGGGAAACTTGTCTTTTTTCAATTTGCAAATCTTCAGTCTATGAATCTTGGAATCGAAGTCATGGCACTTTTTCTAGGTATGTGACATGAACACAAAATACACATTTGCTAAGGTCACGCTGTGAAATATCCAGGTTATTTCAGGTTTGTTTCAGGCTTGGCTGTAGTGAAATTAATTTTAGGAAAGTGAAAAATAGGAAATATGAGAAACATACTCTATATTTGCTGTCTTGAAGCAGAATGTCAATTACTCTGCCTGGCAGTGGCACTTCAGGAACTCTGGCAGAACATCTTTCACATCATCTGGCACCTAATCCTTTTAACTCAAGACTGAGCTATTGAAAAACTTATGTGACTGTCACTGTGTACATATAGACATATGTCCCTAGCATGGAGTCTGCAGTAGTAACTAATAGCTGCTATCTCTAAAAGAAGAGAAAGTGATTTACTATCTGACCCAGTAGTAAGCACTACCCTAACTCGAACCCTTAACAAGAGCCCATGGTTTCCAAGTATGGAAACATACTGTGGCAAGCTCTGGATACTTCCAGTCCCTCCCCTCTCCACTGGGAGGACTGGGGATTGAAGTCTTCCTCTTTCAATTTCATGACGCTCTGAAGCTCAGGAAAATGAAGTTTTATTGTAACAAGTAATAAGAAAAAATGGATTTCGCTAAAACCAACCAGATTTAAGTTGGGATTTCAGGAACTGATTTGTTAACTAACCATAGTTAGAATAAACCATGGTTTCCCAAAGTTGGATATAAACAGAAATGACAGTTTATTCAAAATTGAAAGTGGGATTTATCTCCTGAACTCAAAGACAGAGGGAGAAGAAGACATACAAGTCTAAGGGAAACCATAGATCCCTATTAGATCTGAACCACCAACCCCCTGTAAATACTTTGCCATATTTATTGACCAGAATTGTAGTAGAAATTGGTATGTAGGTTTATTAACCTGGAGTGATCCCAAAAGTATTTTATACTCTTGCTGTAAATGTTTATGCAAGCAGTTTGTGCTGTTATTATGCACATTTGGCCTGAATAAAATTATTTAAATATCTGATTCATTTCTGTATATTCAAAATGGTATGGCAAGGCTGAATATGTATAGTAGGGCCCATATACTGAACAAGATATTCCCTCATCTCTCAGTTTAGGATTACTGTCTCTGTAAGGAATGCTATGATTATTTGATGCCTGAAGTTACTTGGAATCAATACCAAATTAACATGAGCTGAAACAGGCTGGCAATTTCCTGCATAAGTAATACTATTAATGCATGGTAACAACAAGCCTGGATCAACATCGTCAGATATCTTTGATCATAAAAACTAGTGTTGGTTTGCCACTATAGAATTCATATAGTGAATGCTAGCCACACCATGATAGGAACTTTGAATTTATGTTACTGTTTTGCAGTCTTATTTATTTATTATTTATTTATTAAAACATTTCTATGCCGCCCCTTGCCGAAGCCTCGGGGCAGCTCACAGCACAGAATAAAATACAATAAAATACAAAAATAACAATATAAAACCAACAATATAAAATAAATAAATAACAATATAAAAGAAGTCGCCCTGGCCAGTCTTAGGTTGTGCTTTTACAAAACCCTGTGAAACTTAGATACATACCACTTTTTAATAGTTCCCATCAGACCTTTCTTTTTTTCTGTCCATCTACAGCTCCCTCCTGGAGCTGAGTTCATTGCCCCTTTCCCATATGTCTGTTATAGGAGAGAGATGCCTACATCAAAATTATTAGGGCAAATAGAATATGTTTTGGGAACATTGCAGATTCCCACCCCTGCTCCATGACTTTATGTTCTGTTATTTGCTATAGGCAATAGTGGAACTCCCAAGATGTAGCTGTAGCTTATGTTCATTTTGCTTTGTTTGGTTGGACCACTACACATCCCTCCAGCTATCAACCCACAGTGTCACACTCCACGTTTTATTTCCACTTCTATGTTTTCTGCAAATTTGACTTGCCAACCTTAATCTTGCAATTTAAAAAGACTTGCCAAACTTAATCTTGCAATTTAAAAAATGGGAGCACACTGCTAAATCAAGAGGAAGATGAAGGAGGCAGTGGCTGCATGTACAGTGGTTCTGTGGATCACACAACTGAGTGCATGGTGCTTCCACAGTTTCAGAAGAAACCAAAATAATGAAAGGAAAATTACACTCTTTCATATCATTGTAATATTACATTGATTCTTGTAATCAAAATTGTATATTTTATTTCTTTGCTTCATTTTAGCAATTGATTCATTTCCACGAACTGAATTCATGATTACTACTTCTTATGTGTGTGTTTGTGTGTCTCGAGAGAAGAATATTCTTATTTCCCTACTAAGTACTGCCTACAACCATATGAACACATGTCATACATACACTGCATTATTATTATTGCATTGCATTTCTGCAATGCCTGTAGCTGAAGCTCTCTGGGGATTCACAACATTAAGTCAGCCATCCAGATTTCAACCAGGCCCAACCTTGCTTCACTTCCAAAATTAGGAAGGATCTGGCACTTTAAGCTATACAGATGCTATACATTATGAAGAACTTTGCTTAAGAAAGTAGTGTGCTATTCTGAGGTTTGCCTTTATAATTCTACAACATGGAGAAGACATTCTAACCATCCTTTTATGAATATCACATTTACCAGGCTGTTCTTTCAATTCAATTATATTTTCTTTCTTCTATTTTTTCTTTGCCTTAAAAAGTGAACTTCTTCATTGCAATTTTTAAAGGAAGTGCATATAATACCTTGTATAAGGATTTCAGTTCTCTATAATGGAGATTGTATAAGCTTGTCAAAATAAATAAATGTTTCACTGAATTACACACACTGATTGCAATCAGTCAGTCAATAATAATTAATGTAAGAGACACTGGAATTGAACTGGAGAGCTAAGCTCTGATCTCTATTTATCCTGGAAGCTTAGTAGGAGATTATCTCACAGTCCAACCCCTCTCTCAGGGTGATTGTCAGGATAAAATTTGGGTACTTTCCTGCACGAAGCATTTTGGAGAAAGGGAATGGTATAGATATGTTAAAATGTTCTAAGATCATAGAAATTGCTTTGTAGAAATTTTTATCACTACTTTATTGTTATGCTAAACCTATCTATCCAAACTCCCTAGCAAGCTAGTAATGCACATTTTTGCTAACATTGAATTGGATCCGAAAGTGCCATTCTGCTGAAATAACAACCTCCATCAGTGGAACTAGGAACAGGGCAATTCCCCCTCCTCTCTACACACCATAAAAATCTGCTCTAGGAAACCCTCTGAACAGATTTTTGGCTCAAAGGGTTACAGTGGAGGGACAGGGAGAAAGTCCAGCTCTGTTAGTGGATGTCTGTTTGCATAGTTCAATATATCGTATTTATTCATGCGTTTATTTCAAGGACTGTATTTCTCCGGACAAACAACCTTAGAAGCTAAAATATATGCTTAAGAAACCTTTAACCAGCCTTATAAAATTACTTGGTTTCAACTCAATAACAGTAATCTGAACCATATTTTCTAATACTAATGTTTTATTATGATTAATACCCTCCTAATAGATCTACTACTTTGCACTCAGCCAGGATTCATAACTAAAGGTACAAGCCTTAACACGTTGAAACAGAAAAAGGTCTTACCATTCGCAGCATTCCTCAGCCAGCCATGGCTTTTTTTTTCTTGTTTGGACTTTTTTCTGCCTCAGCGTGTATAGGATTGCAGCTAAATAGTTTCTAATTGACAGTCTTGTTTACTGAATGAAAATATTGCCTTGATTTGTTAGATGTTAGCATTACCATTGTTTAATTAGCACGTACGTGAGGAGAAAACTTTTCAAATTGATGTTTCTTTTTAAACCCTCTAACTAAATTTGAATTTATCACAATTGATAAAGATGCTGTGCTATAAGTTAAGGTTTTACTTCAACAAATTTTCCCCCAAATTATCTTCCTATATGTTGTCAAGTGGGTGCATGTGGGAGTAGCACTAGTATTTCTGAAATGTATACAGTGAAGGTGAGCCATTATATACATATTCAGACATGAAGTCCAGAAATCATGTGACTTTTTCTGTGCTTTCAAAATGACCTTATGCATTCCTGTGGTATACGCTTTGATATAAAATAATGTTCTTGGATTACTTTGTCTCTTAAACAGCAATCAATCCTGAACACTTAATTTGGAATAAGTTCCCTTGAAATCTTCCCAGTGAGTGCATTTAAAGAAGTTTCCAGTCACATTAAAAGCTTCAAATAAGTGCTAAAACACACAAAATGTATGCTTGCATTGGCTACATTAGCATGAGTGTTACTTATACTTGTTCATATCTAACCCTCATAATTTTAAATGTGTTCTTCCTGGGGTCTTTATTATTCTTTTGTTGTCTTTTCCTTGCTATGGGATGCAGCTGCCCTTGAACTTGGTACCGTTTTGATCATTCATGTGCAACAGCCACATTTGGCTGTAAATGCAAAAAAAATGAGGGTTCATGGTGTCATTTGAAAAGTAATTTCACATAAATATTTGGACTGTAGTTCTTTTTTAATGTAGAGCTGTTTACTGTGTGAAAATAACATAATTACAATTTGCAGACTTTTTGCCTGAAGCTGAAGGACAGATGCATATGATTAAGTTTTAACTGGCCTGTTATTGTAATGTCGATGTTTTTAGGGGTGGGAGGTTGGGGGTGAGGGGGGCTGTAGGAGTGGATGTATGATAGGAAAGGCACGAGTTTAAAAAAAAATAAGAGGGGAGAGTGATCTAGGAAGCACACATTCCATTTCAGCCTGCCTTACTTTGTTTTCCAGTGGCACTTCTCCATTGGCTTGTCTGAATGCAATGCTTCATAGTAACACACGTGTTGGTGATGGGACATTCTTTAAGATCCCTGGCAAGGCAGGACTCTACGCACTCAAAGTAAGTTGCATTTCTAGCAATGAAAATGCATAGAGCCATGAAAACAGGGTGTGTAAATCATACTGAAATGTATAGGTCAACAAATTGGATTGGGGAGGCTGAACAAGGAAACGATCTGAAAGTTGTTTCTATGTTGAGATGTCTTTTAAAACTGTTTACATTGCAGTCAACCTTTTTTGCAGGCAAATGCCCCTTGATTTTTCCTTTAAAAATGTTTAGCTGAGTTTAATTATTTTCTTTTCAGAACTTAGAAAAGTTTTTTTTTTTGCTTTATTTTGTTTTAAAAACACCAATTTCAAGAGGACCACTGATCGTAATCATTCAAAATATGGGCTCTTTTGTTACTAAAAGAATTCAGAAGCAGCTTTCTTCCTTTGATAGGATTTAGATGCTTTTTAAAAAGGTTATGGAATTCAGAAAATGGACACTGACAAAACAGAATTTAAAAAGAGTGTGTTAATTTTCGGTGACATCCACTGGAATGGATGACATTTTAAAACCAAGTTTAATTCTATGTGTACCCATAAAATAAACAGCATTTTTACATATAGCTTTCTATACAAATATACATTCATGAATTATATTCATACACAGATGAATATACATGATGTATCAGACCATCGTTTTTGTCTCTGGAATTGTCATAAATTACATTTTACACATGTAAGATAAATATGTAGAAAGGTGAAGTGTATTAATCTTTTCAATGTGGCAAGCAACATAATCACATTTCTTCACATTCAGAAGGAAGACTCTACATGTCCAGCAGATGGAACTTTGGATTTAAGTTGTGAATCTGAGTTGGATGGCACTGAAATGGCTGAGACAAACAATAGCAATGGAGAAGAAAATGGAGGTTGGCTTCTTAAATTATTATTGTAGAATTACTAGGGAGCTTAAGTGCTCAGTCAATTATAAAGCATTATCCCTGCTTGTCTGTCATATTATTCAATTTTATGTAATCATATGATACCCTGATACCCTGATTCAGTTCTCCAGAAATTTTATGAATGGATTTAGAAATCAGGATATAAAAATAATGAATGTGGGACTTATACTTCAAACCCCTTAGAATTTTATTTTTGACACCATGCTGTCAAACTACCCACAATTAGTGGGTAAACTCTGAGTCCACACATGACAAAACAACCCAGGAACCAGATGCCCCTGGTTGTTAATGAAAAATGGAAAATTATAAGCATAAGTATTACACATTTCACTCATCCTTGTAATTCCAGGGTTAAACAACCCAGGAATTGCTGCTGTGGCATGCAGACAGGTGATTTGGGGGCAAACTAATTCACTATTCATTAATGTTTATGGCTTACGTAACTTTGGTGTGAAACAGGTCCTGGATCCAGTAACCAGGCGCCCAGCCACTGGCCAGTTTTTTACCTCTGCTGCTGGGTATGACATTGGGAGTGACAAGATAATTGGGTCAATGATGGCATGTTGCCCACATGGTCCTCTAGCAACACCTGTGTATGTGATAGTCATGCCAGCTCCTGAAAATGGCTAGAGCATTGTAGTTCTACCCCAGGTTCTCATAGGGGGACTTCCACCAAATGGGGACTTGGATTTATTGTATTTAACATGGACATTCTAAGGGAGGAAATAATGCTGATTGTGTATGAACTGGGAATGGGAATACACAATAAATAATGTACCAGTGCCCAGTTGGTGTTATAAATTCTATGTTCTGCAACATCCTGTATTGTGAGAGGCAGACTGTATGGATAGTTAGATAAAAGGAGCAAAAAAGGCAACAAATGGGAATGATTGGGCTACTAAAAGGCAAATTATAACTTTGGTATTGCAGCTGCAGTTCCTGTGGCTCTTTTATTCCTGTAGCCTTTAGACTCTTGTTAAAAGAATAAAAATCAAAGCATAAAAATCATCTGCATATCTCATACTTGTGGTCAATCCCACAATATCCCAAATATCTTGCAAGTTGCCCACCTCTTAATTGATTGCAGATTGATAAACGAATACCACCATATAAGGCAGTGATTTTTTAAAAAGCTTTCTGTCTTTCAAGAATTCTTCCACATCAAGGAACTCATGAATGTGTCCCAAAGGATTCTGGGAAAATTCAAGTACACACAATTATTTCATATGGAGTATTGACCAATTCTTTTGGGCCTCACCATTGTAGAGTATCCACTGTGCACTCCAGAACACATTCAGAATTCTGCTGTGTTTTATGTATTGTAGTGCAAGATTCATAGCCATAGGTGATCTGTTTTAAGGAACCCTGTATATGTCATGCTTGACCATTGAAAGGACTTCTTTCATACCATAACTAGAAAACTGATGATACTGGAGAATAAATTTCCAACTACGAGCTCATACAGCCTAAATTCCAAAGGCTGAATTTACCACAGACAAGCCCATCAGAGGTCACCTCCTGGCATTGTTCAAATCTGGCTATAATTCTAAAAATGGTGTTTTCTAGGACACTCTTTAACATTATGGCATGATTCTCCCTTTAAATTCTGGTGGTATAATTTTTGTTCAAATAGAGATGAAGGCTTCAAAGTGCTGGTACCTTTTTCAGTAATCTGGACATCCCTTTGTTGTGTATGACACACACAACTTTGCTTCCCTGTTGTAACTTGTTTTTCAGAGTTTTTGTAGTGCAACACATGTCTGCTAAATTGAGGGAAACCTTTCCCACAATTCTGCCTACTGTATAGATAATCACAGGCAGTAGTTTGATAATTCATTTGATAATTCTGATTTTGACGAGTTCTTCCTTCCCATAGTATCTTTAGCTTGGGAAAAGGAAAGCACTTAACTGCTTTAAGGTATGAATATTACAGCACTGAAGGCAGTTTCAAAAGTAGCTTTATAATATGGTACAGCATGGCATTTGTGAGGGAGGTCTACTGTGGAAAGCGGTGGAGAGTGTTTAAGAAAAATCCTACTAAAGATAAACTTGGAATGCACCTGAAACAGTGATCTGAATTACAGTGATAAAGTTTGGATTATTATGAATGATGGCTTAGAATTCTACCATAAGCCACCACTGATAAATTTCATGTTCTTGCATATCAAGGAACCATGACATGACTTCCTCTGTGCCCATCAGAAGATTGAAGTCTTGCCCAAATGAGAACAGGAAGTCCAGACTTGCAAAAGGAGATGCCAGCTGGCAATACATGATACAAACAAACATTTTAAGAACCTTATTGCTAAGAACATCAAGGCCAATAATAAATGATTCTTTAAATATATCAGAAGCAAGAAACCAGCTAGAGCAGGAGTTGGACTGTTGGATGACCATGGAGTTAAAGGAGTAATAAAGGTTACTGTGGAAAAGTCAAACGAATTCTGTCTGTACTGCAGAAGATATGGGACTGATGCTCATAAAGTTCCCAACCTTATCAACAAACTGAAATTTAATAAATCACAAGGCCCAGATATTAACCATGCTAGAGTTCATGACAAATTCAAATGTGAGATTGCAGTTCTTTGAACAAAAATATGTAACATGACTTGAAGATCAGGACTGGAGAATGGCCAATGTAATTAAATTAATTAGAACAGTTAAAACAAAAAGGACCTGCAAAGAGCTAAAAAGGGATTTCTTCTATTGGGAGATTAGACTTCAAAATGGCAAATGCAGTTCAGTGTGTACACTCAACAGTCCTGAGGCTGGTGAGAAGGCTTTGGGGGTGTTGGAAAAGTAGGCGGCTTGCTACTTTAACCACGGGCTACAAGCTGCCCTTCCATTTTTCCAGCAATCATCACTGGCTTTTAGCTGAGCACATTGGTGTAGATTGGCCTCACCTGGCCCTGCCAATCCAGCAGCCTCCTTGAGCATATAACCAGAGATGCCACCATCAGGTCACCCTTGTAGGGATGCCCCAAAAGAGCAACACCAAAGTGGGTGTGCCCTTTTGCTTTTTCCCTTCAGGATGCCAAGGGAATGAAAGTACCTCTTATTTTTCTCTCACTTGGATTTGTACCTACCAAGTGTGTCTACGACAGCATATGTATGGGAATGTTCCTGGGAGGATGGATATGTCACCAAGTGAGGAGACTCTGGGGATCCGATAAATGTATTAATGGGAGAGGGAAATATGGTGCTGGGAGGAAGACTGGTTAGTTAAATGGAACACAGTCCAGATACCTAGCATCTGTGGCATGTTTCAGTCCTTGCATCTGCAAATTTGATAGCTGGACTATCAGTCTTTCTTCAGGCCTCTGGCTGCTGCTTCAAATGCCAGATCAATGTACAGTACGGCATGTAAAATTTAATAGCAGATAAGGCAGCCAATGCAGCATGTGTAACCAAGACCTGAGTGAGCAAAGACAGGGGAGTTAGTTTAGTCTCTCCCAGGGTGGTTCATCAGCAGGGTAGACCTGAGGGTCAGGGAGGGCTGGCTGTAGTATTCCTTAAGAATTCAGTTTCTCTCTCCAGTCTATAAGAATTCCATTTATTTCCATCTGATTACTAATCTGGAGTGTTTGCATTTTGTGTTGGGCCAGTGGGACACTTTTGTGATCCTGTTGGTGAACCACCCATGCTGTAACCCATTAGGCTGCACCTGAGCTGACAGAGGGCATCTTGGATGTGATGTTGGGTCCCTCAGGATCCTGATTCTGGGGGATTTCAGCATTCATGCCAAGAGCATCTTGTTTGGGGTGTCTCAGGATTTATGGCCTCCATGGCAACCATGGGACTGTCCCAACATGTCTGTGGCCCAAACAGATGTGGTGGAGCAGACACTGTAGGCTTGTTTTTTTCTCTCTTTCCCAGACTTGAGGATGGTGGTCTCAGTGTGGGGTTTTTGATCTTTCCTCCTGGTCGTGAGCAAATCATTGCTTGCTGAGATTTAGGCTGATTCATGTGCAATGGTGGGGAATCCATTAAGCTGATCTGTCCCAGGAGGCTATTGGATCCAGATAGTTACCAGTGAACTCTGTGTCTATATTCAATTCCTGGGGCCTTGCTCTAATTGCGAACTCTGAGGAAGGCTTGGAGGGCAGCAACAAGAAGGAGGCTTTCTTGGTGGTGATCCCCATCTTTGGAATGACCTTCCATCTTTTTGGCACCAGCTTAATATGGCTCTTTATGCTGAGACTTTTAAAGATACACTTGGATACACAAGGGTGTTGATGGAATTATCTAGCCTGAATGTTTTGACAGGGCTTCTCTTCACTGTATGTTGTTCTAGTTGTTTTTATATTTTTTGCTTCAAAATGTTTCTATTCTGATAAGATTTTTTATGGCATTTTATTGCATTGTGTTCATGAACTGTTGTAAACGGCCCTGGAAGTTTCAACTGTTGGATAGTATAGAAATGAAATGAATATGTAAGTGTAACAGGGTGAATACTGGAACAAAAAACTCTCAGTCTTACATAGATGCTTATGGGAACTGAGCTAGTGTGGCTTACCAAGAAAGAGATCTTGGAATTGTGATAGACAGCTCCATGAAAATGACAACCCAGTGTCTGGCTCTTATGAAAAAAGCAGTCTTCATATTAGGGTTTGTTGGAAAAGATACTGTCAATAAATCTGCCAATATCCTATTGTCCTTATACAAATCTGTAATTTCATCCTGCTTGGAATTACTGCATACAGTTCTGATTACTGCCCCTAAGAAATGGTTATTGAAATGCTGGAAAACGTACAGCAAGGAGCCACTAAAATGATCAAAGACTGGAGCTACTTCTTTATGGGGAAAGGCTGTAATATCTGGGACTGTTTCATTTAGGAGAGCAAGGGAGACATGATAAAGATAGACAAAAATATTATTTTTCTTTTATTTTCATTGTGAATTTCATCAAGCTAGAGTAAAACAAAGACAGAACATGAAGAACCCTAAAATTAACATTTACATATCCA